ATCTCTTAAAATCCTCTTTCTAAGGCAGGATGGGAAAACTCTAACTTGAAGCAAGTGTATTGTACAGTTCGCGTGTTTACAGTTCAAATCGCACATTCATTTCGTACTGCACACGAAAAGTTCAGACTTACCCGTAGCTTCAACATGGACACAAGTGCAGCTTGTGTGAAGTGGGCAGACGCGAATCTTCGTGAACATGTTCCTGCTAGGTGCTTTGCTTCGGCCCTTTGAGATTTCAACCCGATACACTGCCATGTTTCGTTCTATACACGAATGCCCCTATGCACAAAATGTTTGTGTTTTCGTTTCCGCACCACACGTGGTTCCCCCTCACACCAACGGACAGCAAGAGTACAATATGGCCACAGTGTAGTGGAGTGAGACCAACGACAATTGATATGTGTAACAGTGAATGGCATCACCACCACCACACCACACCACAGCACGAAAGGCCTTGTTTGCCCAGCCAGTCGGCTCGAACGGCAATCTTTCTTCAAGGGCGGGCAAATTATTCTTCAAGGGGCGGCACTTGCCATGGCATGGCTCCTCCTATGGCACAGCAATCTCACGGTCTAACTAGAAAGACGGACTAAATATACACAGTTTTACAAATTACGTAGAGGCCGTGGGTGATTTTGCTAAGTTACTGATCTGCGCCGCCGTACTTTGCGCCATTGCGGACGAGGGACGTCAACATTACCAATGAAGCGGAAAAACTCAAAAGCGGAAGTAGCGGAGTATACTACTAGTAGTACAGATCGTGACGCTCGCCCCTGCACGACTGCGGGAGCGGCTGGTATTATCTTCGAAGTCACCGCAGAGAAACCACAATCGCCAAGTCAGCACACTTCTCCCACATCGTACGTTTCCCTTCGAAGGACTTGCGCGGGGCGACGGTCCGTGAAACGCGGCGGAAGCAGCGGCGATATTGCCGGCGCTAGTTATACCAGCGGCGAGGCGATTCGTCTAGCCGAGGGAAAAAAACTGCGCGCTGCATTGGTGCCAACTTGTCTGCCGGAGGATGGTTATACTTGGCTAAAATATGGCGAGAAACCGCTAATGAACCAGCCTAATTGCCTGCGGTGAGTCGTTAAGGCTTAATGGTTGCGAAGTCAGTTTCAGGCGTATTCAATATTTTCCCATTACTAAAAGCCCTGCGTTCGTCCCCCTACATCAGGTCGTACTTCCGTTGTGCGAGTTCTGGCTTACCAGGAGCAGAGCCATGTCGTGCCAAGCGAACAGTTGATTGGCGTGTCGACACGCAACCAGCCAGTTACCATGTTACTTTTACTGGCGAACACAATCACGGCCCGTCTGCTTTCCCCGCAACGACTCCACCCGCCAGCTCGCCTGCTGCCTCCGCTCTGGCGGGTGATTGCGAAACAGGTGCTTCGTTAAGCGCGAAATTGGCGACGGATGTGTCAAAGAGTGTCGCGGGACGCAGCGAGAACGGATCGACCCTTGTGTCCCGTCGCAGGCCGAACCACGGGTTTCGAAAACTTCCGATGGTTCCGATGGGGTTCGCTACAACCGTCGCAGCTGCTCTAGTTCCAGACGCGAGGGCGAAAGCTGTTTCTGACGACACTCGCGATGAGCCTGACACCTGCAGGGTTGCTGGTTACAAGCCCAGCAACTACACTGACAACACGCAAAACTCTTACACCCACATTTCCATTCAAAACAGTGAAATCGCTTCATCCAAAATCTTCCCTAAAATTCATAATTCTTCCACTCCATTGGCATTTTCTGGTGTCGCCAGCCTCCCTCCTGCCGGTCCAGATTGCGAAAATAATGGTGGAGAGCAGCGGGTGTATGTTACATCAAATGAGGAATCTCGGCGCCATACTCAGGCTCAGCATGAGCAATCTAACCAGATGGATCTACACCACCCTTCAAGCTCACACTCCCCTGCTCCACCATCCGACTCAACTTCGCCTGGATTTGAAGCCAAGCCTTTTTCAGCAACTCATCAGTGCTTTGAAGTTGCCACACCGCCGACGCAATCGCCACCACCAGCAGCACCAGCGGCAACGGCTCTTCCTGTTCTTACAGAAAATATCCCCATGCCTGCGTCCTCTCAGATGGCTTCAGTGTCACCTGTCTGCTCAATTCGTCAGTCATCCCCTGTACAAGCAAACCCTCTACAACCTAATCCAGAGCACAGATCTCCTTCTCTTCACCCTCCGCTCCCTCCCTCACGCACTGCTGCTGGTCGCTGCCCTGATTCTTCTCCCTTCCGTGCTGCTGCTCCTCCTCCTACTCCTCCTATTTATCCTTCTCCCTTCACCGCCACTGCTGTTTGCTGCTGCTCTTCCCAACCTTTACAAGCAGGGTTGCATCAGTTCAAGCCGCCTTGCCATGCTCAATATCAGACCCTGCAGCAGCAGCAGCAGCAGCAGGAGCAGCAGCAGTAGCAGCAGCAGCAGCAGCATGAGCAGCAGCAGCAGCAGCAGCAGCAGGAGCAGCAGCAGTAGCAGCAGCAGCAGCAGCATGAGCAGCAGCAGCAGCAGCAGCAGCAGCAGCAGCAGCAGTTAGAGCAGCAGCAGGAGCAGCAGCAGGAGCAGCAGCAGCAGCAGCAGCAGTTAGAGCAGCAGCAGGAGCAGCAGCAGCAGCAGTTAGAGCAGCAGCAGTTAGAGCAGCAGCAGGAGCAGCATCAGCAGGAGCTTCAACCACCTCACCTGGCCTATCATCATTATCAACATCAGCATCAGCATCAGCACCAGCACCAGCACATGCAACAGGGATTTGGAGTACCCGAGGCCCATCATCCATTCCTTCAGCATCATTGTCATTATCATCATCATCACCATCATCATCACCATCAGCAGCAGCAGCAGCAGCAGCAGCAGCAGCAGCACGTGGAGCTGCCAGGGGGTGGCAGCTTCAACGAGCAACCTTGGCAACCACCACAGCAGCATGTTCCTTTCCCATCCCCTCCTCCGCCTCTCCCAGTACAGCCACCACCACCAGGCCTTCTTCTCTGCCCACCCTCTCCTCATGCCTCCCTCCAACCGCCACCAATTCAGCCCTCACCCACTCTTGCTTGTGACGCGGCAACGATACCATATCCAGCCTCCCAATTTGCATGTACCTCGTACACACCTGCACCTTATGCACCTTTCCCGTATGCACCCACACGGAGCCAGCCATTCCCCGTTAACGCAACGAAACCCGCCCGTGCTGCTGCTGCTGCTGCTGCTGCAGTGAAGCGAACCCTGAACCTCCTCCCATTTCCATTCCTGCCGATCCAATGCAGGAAACGTCACAAATGGAACGTTTAGAGTCTCTGAATACAGCCTCAGCAGCAGCAGCAGCGGCGGCAGCAGCAGCGGCAGCAGTGTCGGCCGTGTCTGAAAAGCGAGACGGTTTACTCACGGCATTAGCTCAGCACGCGACCTTTGAGGCGCCTCAAAAAGGGGCTGTGGCTGCAATACCAGACGGATTGCTTGCAGCAGCAGCAGCAGCTCAGCTTACCGGCCTGCCACCGCCCACCTGTTCTCAACCACCGCTTACATTACCTACGCCCTTTACAGAGGAGCCTTACTTTGGGACTTCTCAAGAAACAGTTTTGCCGCCGCCCACCTGTTGCCATAATGCTTCTCAGAATTTTGCAGCAAGTCACGCTCCCTGCCCAGCTGTTGCAGCAAGTCACGCTCCCTGCCCAGCTGTCTCAGCAAGTCACGCCCACTGCCCACCTGTTGCAGCAAGTCATGCTTTCGAGAGTTGCCAAAGACCATTTGACCCGCCAGTGCAAACCTGTTTTCTGCCTTCATCTGCGTCTTTTGGACCGGAGCACTCTTTGCCATCCATCTGCCATCTTCAGTCTGCTCCGCTTCCTTCAGTAGATCCCCATGTGCTGCCATCCACCTGTCACGCTCTGCCATCCACCTGTCACGCTCTGCCATCCACCTGTCACGCTCTGCCATCCACCTGTCACGCTCTGCCATCCACATCCCACGCTCTGCCAAGTGTTACATCTGTGACTCTCGGTAACCACCCTGACCATCATCGCCACCACCTGGGAAGCAGCAGTTACCATGTGGGTTTGGCTGTTACTACAGCTACAGGGTTACCACCAGCTGAGGTCGCTGCACCCTTGGTGCAATTCTCCGGTGCTGTAGCAGGACCTTCGATTGAGCATGTGCGGCATGCTTGCATCACCACTCCTGCTAGCAAAACAGCTCTTCATTTTAATGCAACCACTGATCTGTCCCCGCTACAGAGCGATTCAGTTGAAGCAGCAAGAGGGCCTGGCCTTACAGCTGCTGAGGGTGGCATTTGTGACTCTGGTGATGAAATGCTGGAAGATGTATTTGGGGGTTGTGGCAACATTACGAGTCGAAATGGGGGCTGCAGTAATGGTGGCAATGACAACATTACGAGTCGTAATGGTGGCAACAGTAATGGTGGCAACAGTAATGGTGGCAACAATAGCGAGTCGTCTCCTGTTCGAAGCAACGTTACGGAAGATGCTAGCAGTGCTTTGTTTGACATAGATTCACTACTAGAAGAGGGGCTTTGGTTCAACCCTTCAGCTTATCTTGGTTGTAACACTATTGAGAAGGTGCAGTAGGTTTCGACAGCAATGCAGTAACACATTGTTGGCACCACCATTCTTTTGTCTGTTTGTTTTCCAGATTGTTTTTCCGGTTGAAACTGCAATTTGTTTCTTTAACTTGAGGTGAAGATTTCATTAAAAAAACTACCGGAGCCAACTCTGGCAAGTTTATGCGCGCTAAAGCTCTGAGCATTGATCAGCCAGTATTTCCAGCGTGATTATTACAGCTACAGTTTTCCCACAAATTAGATGGCAAACACAGGAATAACAACATTCACCCCATAACTGTCAAGAAAATCCCAGCCAAAAAGTGTACAGAGCCACGACCATGGATTCTAGCTCTGCATGGCCCCTCTCCTCCAGCTGTGATGCCAAAGATGCGTGCCAGAGATGCATCACCAGTCAAACCTTTTTTTGCGCCACTAAAGTATGACCATGGCTTCTAGCTCTGAATGCCTGCATAGCCCTTCTCCTCGAGCTGTGATGCCAGAGACGCATCACCAGTCAACACAATGCGGCCTTGCTCCTGCACTCACACCAGGATACCATATGCAACAGCATGGGTTGGGGGAACCAGGGTGAGAAAACAAGTTCCAATAGTGAGATGATATTTCGAGTCGTCACACAAGTCGATTCTAAAGATTACTCTGATGCCAGAGAGGCATCCCCAGTCAATACAATAAGGCCTAGCTCCCGCAGACACCCCAGTGTATGGAACACCATGAGAAGCCACGCGGTGCTATTACAAGCGACTATTCGAGAGACGGGGAGAAAGAGAAGCAAGGAGCCTCTTTGGAGGCTTCACGGGAAATGAATTTGCTTTTGAGGCGCCTCAAAAGTAGACTCATCTTTGGAGGCACCACGGTTCAGGCCTTCTCAGCACTGCTTTCTCAGGCTGCAGCAAAGCTGTAGATCACCTTTGAAGAGTAAACTCAGCAGTCATACAAACACTCATCATGACGTGGATGTAGCAGCGCGGATAGAATCCAACAGACGCTGGTAGTGAGTGATCATGCGAACCGCTTTTTCCGGCCTTTGAGTTCTCTCAGCAGCTGGAGCCACGGCCCCGAGGGCGTCCACGTCCAGCCATTTGGGAGTCACTTGTGAGAATTCTCAAAAGCGACTCCCAAATAGCCTTGGAGTTCTCTCAGCAGCCGGAGCCACGTCAGTGAGAGCGCCCACGTCCAGCCCCGAGTGAATTTCATCGAGAATGGTGGGAGAGAAATTTGGGGGTTCTCCTCCCAACTCCCAGCCTTTTTTTCGCTCCTGCCCACCGACCTACGCATGTGCTCACTATGATATGATGTGAATGTAGTCGGGGCGGATATAGTCCAGCAGGCGCTGATAATGCGAAATCATCAGCACAGCCTTCTCAGGCCTCTGTAGAGAATTCACAGCAGTAGCGGCGTCCCTCAGAGCGTCCACGTCCAGCTCTGAGTCGATCTCATCCACGATGATATAAGTTGTATTTTGAGACGTCGCAAAATACAACTTTTATCACGTGTCCACGTGACTTTTGAGTCGAATTAAAAGTCACCTCTGTATTTTGAGACGTCTCAAAACACAACTTGTATCACGTGTCCACGTCCAGCCCCGAGTCGATCTCATCCATGATGGCCAGCTCAGCGTCCAACATGGCGAGCTGCAGGATTTCCACTGCATAGCCAGCCAGCCCCTACGCACTTGCTCCCAACCCACTGACAATGGCCACTCTACTCCACTGCCTGTGCTGTGCTCACCATGATGTGGATGTAATCCGGCTTGATGTAGTCCAGAAGTCGCTGGTAGTGGGTGATCATCAACACAGCCTTCTCCGGCCTCTTAAGAGAGTTGACAGCCGTAGCCACGTCCCTGAGCGCGTCCACGTCCAGCCCCGAGTCGATCTCATCCAGAATCGCCAGCTCAGCGTCCAACACGGCGAGCTGGAGGATCTCATTGCGCTTCTTCTCGCCGCCGCTGAAGCCCTCGTTCACGTTGCGCTGCAGGTACTTGAGGTCCATGTTGAGTTCTTCCAGCTTTGGACTGAGAAAGCCGTAGAACTGGGAGAAAAGAGGGAGAGGAGGGACAGACAGGGAGAAGGAGAGGCCACACCCACACGATTGAAAGAACGCCTTCAAACGGCTCGAATCTGAGGCTCTGGCGGACGTGGGTGGTGGAGAAATGGAAGGGCGAGCTGCAGGATCTCGTTGCGCTTCTTCTCGCCGCCGCTGAAGCCCTCATTCACGTTGCGCTGCAGGTACTTGAGGTCCATGTTCAGCTCCTCGAGCTTGGGGCTCAGGAAGCCGTAGAACTGGCAGGGAGACAGTGTGGGGATGGGACAACACAATGGGGGAACACATGGTTTCAGGATGCTGTACACCCCACCCCACCTGCTCCTCCAACCAAGCCCTCATTCACGTTGCCCTGCAGGTACTTGAGGTCCATGTTCAATTCTTCCAGCTTCGGGCTCAAGAAACCGTAGAGCTGGCAGGGATTGAGGAGAGGGGAGAGGGAGTGTGGGGCAAAGATAGTACTCTAACAGGTTTCCGTTTGACAGGCCCAAATTTTGGACTTCGTTCCTTCACACACGTGGTGGTAAATTCAGAATTCCATGCTCTCTCTTCCCACTCCAGAGCATATCCTCGACGCCTCATGTCTACCCTTATTCTCACCCTCTTTGTCCCCACTCCCAGTCATACTCCTTGAAATGAGGGTGTCTCTAAAACACCCTCACTTCACGTGGCTATTCTCACCATCGCTGTCCCCACTCCCGGTCATACTCCTCCTCAAGCTTGTTCGACCCTCCTTCCCTCAGAATAACGCTTCTCACTCCTCGGAGCTCACCTCGAGAGGCTCCATTTCGGGCAGCCCTTTAGCTGCCCGGCGAGCGTTGCACGAGAGGCGCAGGAAGTCCACATTGTTCACTCCGGGCAGCTCCACGGGCGACTGGAAGGACAGAAACACGCCCGCGTGGCTGCGCTCCTCGGGCTCCAGTTCCAACAGATCCTCCCCGCGATAAGTGACAGAGCCACCGGTGATCTCATAGTCCGGGTGCCCCACCAGCACCTGCAGAGGGAGGAGTTGAGAACAAATAAGGCATCAGACAGGAAGGACTGGAAGGACAGAAACATCCCCATCAGCGTGGCTCCGCTCCTCGGGCTCCAGCTCCAACAGATCCTCCCCGTGGTAGGTCACGCTTCCCCCGGTGATGTCATAATCAGGGTGGCCCACCAGCACCTGCCAGGGGGAAGGGGTGGAGGGAAGGGGCACATTGTTCACTCCGGGCAGCTCGACAGGCGACTGGAAGGACAGAAACACGCCTGTCAGCGTGGCTCCGCTCCTCGGGCTCCAGCTCCAACAGATCCTCCCCGCGGTAGGTGACCGAGCCTCCCGCGATTTCATAGTCCGGATTGCCCACCAGCACCTGATGGGACGGGGGTGGGGGACGGGGTTGGGTGGGGGGGATTTGGGGAGGGGGGTCAACTTGGTCCTCTAGAATCCAAGACCTCGTCGTCCAGATGGCCCAACAGGCCGAAAACAAATCAAATCACAGCCTACCAGCACGTGACGCCAGCTGTGATTGGGTTTGTTATCAGGAACAAGAAGGGGAGGAGGAAGAAGAGGAGGGAGGGGTGGGTTGGAGGAAAGGTGGTGTCGTGCAGTTGTAAGAGGGTGGGGGAACTTCAAGTTTTCTAATCGTACTGGTACAAGTACGCAGACCAATCCCGGCGGAATCTTACCTTGGAAAGAGTGATCTTCCCCGAGCCGTTCTCCCCCATTATCCGAACACCTGAGGATGCACCTGAAAATACACCTCATCATGGACCTGAAAATGCACCTTAGGGTTTCCTCAGATGCTACAGTGCAGTTAGAACGGCGAAGTCTTACCTTTGAGAGAGTGCTCTTCCCGGAGCCATTCTTCCCCATGATCGCATGCACCTAAGAATGTATCAATTTCCTCAAAACCTGAAGATGCACCTGAAAGCGTTCTCAGATGCTACAGTGCCGTTCACACGGCGAAGTCTCACCTTGGAGAGAGTGCTCTTCCCGGAGCCATTCTTCCCCATGATCGCATGCACCTGACACAGCAGCAACACGGAGCGGAAAGCAGACCGGAAAGGAAGGTGAGCGGAATTGAGCCAGCGTGGCAGTGTTTGAGTTTCGTGACGTCCCAAAACAAGGAATCTCAGCTAGTCTCGGTTTTTTTTAGCCGCGAATTCAGATATTATTAAGCATTTCCACCTACGAAGGGACACCGGTGGATCGAACACCGGTGGGTTCGATGAGGCGAAAGAAAGGTTACGCCGATATCAAGCCTTTCTTGGCGATGATCAAAATGCGATGATCAAAATGCGATTTTTCTGCTTGCGACTTGACATTTGGAGCGACGCATCTTGTGAAATCGTTTTCACGGCAAATTCTCACCTCGCCTTCACGAATGCAGAGGTTGACGCCATGGAGAATTTCTTTTCCGGATTCAGCAATAATGGCTTTCAGGCCCTTAACTTCAAGCATCACTGGCCTCTCCGTCGCCTCCGCCGCCGGCGCTGCCGCTCCCTCGAGTTGCGCGTCGACCGCCAAGGCTCGGGTCGTCGCGCCGCCGGATGCGCTCCATCGTCCCTGGGCTCCCGCCGTGAATCGCGGAGCTGAAACGGAGACAGGAGCTAGCGAGACTCTGCTAGCTGCTTGGAGCTGACGTTGAAGCTGGGTTTGCTTCGCGACGGGTGTGGATGTGATCCCGGATAGACAGTGAGACGAGATCGTTGCGGCCATCGTGGAACGAAAGCGAAATAGGCTCTAGGGGGACGAGAAGTGAACCACGGAATGAAGACACAAGGAAGATAGCGCACGCGCAATTCGTGCCGAACAAAAACGCGTGCAGACTACGCGACCCTTGTAAGCTCGGAGAAACGAGATACACTACTTGATGTTTATCACCAACTGAGTATGTCTCGTTCTAGCAACTCAAAATCAACAGAAACCAGGAGGTAAATTTAAAACATCGATATCGACGTGCAGGGTAGGTTTTCTCAGATACTAGGCGAAGAGGATGAATTCGGGAAGCAGGCCTTTCGTGCTGACGATAATCGAATATCCAGCGGACGGTCCGATTTTGATTAAGCTGGACTGACCGACGGTTCGATCGGCCGTTCATGAAGGTAAGTGCGAGTCATATGCATGTACTCAGAGCCACGTGGCCTACATACCACATCCACAGGCTTCAATCCTGGATTGTGTAATCTGTGTGGCACTGGGATTGCCGCTTTTCGTCACTTCCACCGCGCAGCAATTTCAAGGTCATGCCCCCGAAGAGCCATAAAACTGGCTTGCTCTGACATTCATGAATTGTTGACGTGGAAGCACTTGGTTGGATAAGGTTCTTCGTCAGTCCGTTCGAGAACACATGCAGTAACGCGTTTGATCTGGACGAAGGTCTACACTAAACCAATTTAATGTACAACCATGCTATGTGGTTTGGAAGGAACTACCACCCTAGTCACTCCAATGCTGAATTGAAACATCACAGCATAACAGCACAGTGCACTAATTATAACATAAAAGCAAAGGGCACTAAATGCGGCATCCTTAAGGCCCATATTTACAGGTGTTAACCTGGGCCGACAAATCAGCTGTGGCCTTGCATGTCATCTGGATGCATCCTAGCCATCTGATTGTCATACACCTTCAAGTCGCCCTTCACTTGCACTGTCACACCAGCCGCAAACCCATGCGTTTGTGCTGATGCTTCTCCTGGGACCACTGCTCCTGTTGGTGCAGCTGGTAATGATCGCAAATGCGTCGCTGGTTGTGTATGTTGCTGCTGCTGCTGAATTGGTGTCACTGAAAACGGTGAAGATGGTGCAATGCTCAGGTCACTAGGATGTTGCTGCATGGGTGGTGTATATTGCAGCGTGTGAGGCCCATGTTGCAATGAAGACTGGTCATCTGACATAGAATGGTACTGCTGACCTCTGTGAGGGGCCATGGCCATGGCATGTTCCTGCATGTGCATACTCGGCTCACCATACTCTCTCTCGGAGCACATATCTGGGTGCTGCTGCTGGTGCTGGTGCTGGTGCTGCTGTTGCTGCTGCATGCTGCTGCTGCTGCTGCTGCTGCTGCTGCTGCTGCTGCTGCTGCTGCTGCTGCTGCTGCTGCTGCTGCTGCTGCTGCTGCTGCTGCTGCTGCTGCTGCTGCTGCTGCTGCTGCTGCTGCTGCTGCTGCTGCTGCTGCTGCTGCTGCTGCTGCTGCTGCTGCTGCTGCTGCTGCTGCTGCTGCTGCTGCTGCTGCTGCTGCTGCTGCTGCTGCTGCTGCTGCTGCTGCTGCTGCTGCTGCTGCTGCTGCTGCTGCTGCTGCTGCTGCTGCTGCTGCTGCTGCTGCTGCTGCTGCTGCTGCTGCTGCTGCTGCTGCTGCTGCTGCTGCTGCTGCTGCTGCTGCTGCTGCTGCTGCTGCTGCTGCTGCTGCTGCTGCTGCTGCTGCTGCTGCTGCTGCTGCTGCTGCTGCTGCTGCTGCTGCTGCTGCTGCTGCTGCTGCTGCTGCTGCTGCTGCTGCTGCTGCTGCTGCTGCTGCTGCTGCTGCTGCTGCTGCTGCTGCTGCTGCTGCTGCTGCTGCTGCTGCTGCTGCTGCTGCTGCTGCTGCTGCTGCTGCTGCTGCTGCTGCTGCTGCTGCTGCTGCTGCTGCTGCTGCTGCTGCTGCGGCTCATGAAGATGCTGTGGAATAAATACGTGTGCCTGTGATTGGTCCACTGCCGGTTGTGGCAACAATGGTTGTAGCATGGGTGGTTGTTGCTGCATCGGTAGTTGTTGCATGGTTGGCTGTTGCATGGATGGTTGTTGCATGGATGGTTGTTGCATGGATGGTTGTTGCATGGATGGTTGTTGCATGGGTGGTTGTTGCATGGATGGTTGTTGCATGGGTGGTTGTTGCATGGATGGTTGTTGCATGGGTAGTTGTTGCATGGATGCTTGCTGCATGAGTGATGGTTGCGACACTGGTTGTGTCAACATTGGCGCTTGCACGGGCTGCAATCCCGCTTCCCTGCCTGTCCCAATCTGCCCTTGTTCCTGCACCCGCCTACTGCTGCTGCTTCTCAGTGGTTTTGGCTGTGCCACTTCCTGTTGTTGCTGCTGCTGGGGCTGATACTGCTGCTGCTGCTGGTAGTTCTGTTGCTGCTGAAAGGGCTGCTGATCTTGCTGAATTGCTTGCTGCTGCGCTGCTTGTTGTTGCTGCTGCCAAGGAGCCAGACCCTGCTGAATTGGTGAATGCTGCTGTTGCATTTGCTGCTGCTGCTGTTGCCACATCTGTTGCTGCTGCTGCTGTTGCCACATCTGTTGCTGCTGCTCATCACCCTGCCTCGTCCTTCCCACACCACCCGTCCTCTCCCTCTCCACCTCCCTCCTCTCCACCATCCCAGCCCTTTTCCACGCCTCCTCGTCCAATCCCATTGCGACAGCTGGCGCAGACCCCAACAGCAGCAGCAGCAGCAGCAGCCGCTGCTGCTTCTCCTGCTACAGCCGATCCTCTTGGAAACGCTACAGCCGGAGCCTTATTGGACACCACGTCTCCCAGTGGCCGTCTTGGCACTGCTGCTGGCTTGTGCTGCGGATAAATAGTCTCCCGAGGTTGCAGTTGCTGTAATGGCTGCTGCTGCTGCTGCTGTGTGAGCGGTTGTGTGTGGTGCTGCTGCATGTGCTGCTGCTGTGTGTGCTGTTGAAAAACCGTCTCCTGTGGTTGAAATGGCTGCTGCTGTGCGTACTGGTGGTCGAGGTGATGCTGATGCTCCTGCTGCTGCTGTTGAGATGGCTGCAGTTGATGCTGTGAGTACTGTTCGGAAGCTTCCGGCCCTGACTGATACCAGTGCTCTGGCGGTGGCTGTTGCAGTTGAAACCCCTGCTGTTGCTGCTGCTGCTGCTGTTGTTGCTGATGCTGACGCTGCTGTTGAAATGGCTGCTGCTGCTGCTGCTGCTGCTGTTGCTGTTGTTGCTGAAATGAAAAAGTTGACAGTTGCTGCTGTTGCCGCTGGTGATGATACCCTTGCTGTCGCTGCTGCTGTTGGTGCTGCTGCTGCTGGTACTCATGCTGTAGCTGCTGCTGTTCCTGATACTGCAACTGCTGCTCTTGCTGCTGCTCTTGATTGGGATAATGGATACCCAAGTGTTGCTGAAACGTCTCCTGCTGTTGAACCTGCTGCTGCATCTGCTGCTGCGTCCCCTCCACACGACCTCTCATCCCATCAAACCGCTCAGAACCACTTCTCACCGCATCAAACCCCTCTGTACCAGGTGGAGGGTCACTCGCTTCCATCATCAGCTCATCGAAGCTGCTACCTGCAGGCAGCACCACACACTCTTCCCTCTGCTGTTGTTGGTGCTGCAACAGGTGCGGCTGAGGCAGGTGCTGCTGGGGTAGGTGCTGCTGGGACAGGTGCTGCTGGGACAGGTGCTGCTGGGACAGGTGCTGCTGGGGTATGTGAGGCTGTTGCTCATCTAAGCTGCTGCCCGCAGGTAGCACCACATACTGCGGCTGCTGCTGTTGTTGTACCGGTTCTTGTATTTGCTGCAGCGGCTGCTGCCTCTGCTGGTGCTGATGATGCTGCGGCTGTTGCTGCTGTTGCTGCTGATGATGCTCCTCGCCAGGCAATACCCCATGTTGGAGGGTGTCAAGCTGCTGCTGGTGATGCTGCTGCTGTTGCCCCTGCAGGGAGTACTGCTGCTGCTCTAGGTGACGTTGCTGCTGCTGCTGCTGTGATTGATGTTGTTGCAGCTGCTGTTGCTGTAATTGCTGTTGTTGCTGCTGCTGATATGGCTGCTGCTGCTGATGATATTGCTGCTGCTGAGGATAATGCTGCTGCTGGTACTGATACTGACTTCCCTGTGCCAAGCACTCTCCCTCTACCATCCTCCACTCCACCTCACCACCTCCTCCCCTTCCCTCCATCCCAACCGGCATCTCCCCTTCCATCCCCAGCCTCTCCTCCTCTGCTGCCCTCAGAGTCATTTCAGACAGATGCTTCTGCTGCTGATGCTGCAGCAGTTGTTGCCGCTGCTGATACCGATACTCCTGTGGCAAGCGTTCTCCCTCTTCCTCGGGAGCCCTCAGCGTCATTTCAGAAAGATGCCTCTGCATGTCACCTGCTACCAACCTGCCCACATGCCCTCCCACATCTTGCCCCCTCCCTCTCACATCACCATCTTCCCACCCTCCCACATGCCCTCCCACATGCCCTCCCACGCTCTCTCCCCCTTCCACTGCTGGAGCCTCCATGCCCCAGGCTGTGGATGACGACACCTCCTCTGCTGTACCGAGACTGCCCCCACATGCACTCGCACTGCTTGTGATGATCTCATGCCCCCACTCCTGCTGTTGCATATGTTGCTGCTGCAGCTGCTGCTGCTGCTGCTGCTGCTGCTGCTGCTGTTGATTTCCTGGCTGCTGCTGTTGAGGCTGCTGCTGCCATTGTTGCTGCGAAGGCTGAGCCTCCACCTGTTGCACTGGCACCAGCAGCTGTTTCTGCTCTCGTTGCTGCTGCTGCTGCAGGTGCTGTTGATTCCTTGACTGCTGTGGCTGCTGCTGCATGCGCCAGTTGCTCCATCCACCAGCATGAAAAAGCCCCCCACTCGCCCTGCCAGACCCACTGCCGCTGCTGCTGCTGCTCCCAATGCTGCCGCCTCTCCTCATCCCCCAGTGAATGCGAGCAGGCGGGAGCACAGGAGTCTTCCCTGAGCCCAGCCCTTGCCCATGCTGCTCCCTATGCTGCTCTGCCTGCTGCTGCTGCTGCTGCTGCTGCTTCTCCTGTTCTGCCTGCTCCTGCTGCTGGTGCTGCTGCTGCTGCTCCTGCTGCTCTGAAAACTGCTGCTCTTGCTCCCACCGAGCCAGCATCTCGGGCATATCCTCGTCTCTTTCCCCAACGAAGAGAGTCCCAGCAGCCACAGCAGTAGCCGCACCGATAGCAGCGCCAGCAGCAGCACCAACTGCAGCTACGGTGCCAGCAGCAGCAGTGGTGGCAGCGGTAGAAGCAGGAAAAGGAGGAGGGTGAGCAGCAGTAGCAGTGCCAACAATCACGGGCTGAATGAAAGGGAAAGGAGGAGACGGCGTACTGAGCTCCGTGCTGCCCCTACCAGACCCTCCCGACCACCTTCCAGTTACTCCAATCCTTTCGCCCACCCCTTCACCAATCCTTTCGCCCACCCCGTCACCAATCCTTTCGCCCACCCCTTCACCAATCCCTTCCCCCATCCCTCTGCCAGTCCATTCCCCGAACCCGCCAATCCGTTTGCCCAATTCGCCTGTCCAAGATTCTTGCCTTCTATCGCCCTCCGCTCCCTTTGCCTCCTTATAGAGTTCCCCGCTACTGCTCAGCAGCCTTCCCGAACCTCCCGCCCTGCTTGCCCCACGCCCGCCCGAGCCACCTGCCGAACCATGCAGAGGCCCAGACCTGGCTCGGTATCTCAGCCTGCGTTGCCCTGGGCCTCCAGGCTCGGACCCCGAACCTGCACTAGCAGATGCAGCAGCACCACCCGCAGCAACTGCTTCCACCACTGATGACGTGTCTGAGCCTGCTGACCCAGCAGTGGCTGCTGATTCAGCAGCAAGGCCTGCTGATTCAGCAACAGGGCCCACTGACTCAGCAGCAGGGCCTGCTGACTCAGCAGCAAGGCCTGCTGACTCAGCATCGCCCATCCTCAGAGGGCCAGACCTGGACCGCAATCTCTTGCTGCTGCTGCTGCCGACCAGCCTATCAACCTCTGCCACGTCCCTTAGCGCCTGAATCAAATCCATTTTGGCTGGGTCTCGGACCCCTTGCTTTTCCATGAGGAACGAAAGGGGGCCTAGAAGTTGCTGGGATGGGACTGTGGGTTGCTCCTGCTGCTGCCCTTGCTGTTGCTGCTCATGCGCAAGTGGTTGTTGTTGCTGCTGCTGCTGCTCGTGTGCATGTGGTTGCGGCTGCTGGTGCTGCTGGTCTGGTTGCGCCTGATGTTGCCCCTCCACCCTTACAACTGCCGCCTCTACGCCTGTCTCTGTTCCCCCACTCGCTGCCAATTGCTGAGGCGCTTCAAAAACCATCTGCTGCCCCTCCACCCTCACAGACGCCCCCCCAGCGCCTATCTCACTTGTGCTTCCTACTGCCGCCACCACGGCCGCCCCACTTCCGCGGCCAGCTGCCTTTTCCGATGCTCGTCGGGAAAACGCCGCCGCAATCGCTTTACTAAGCATCCCGCCAGCGATACTGGCAGGTTTCGCGTAAGCTGCGCGGGACGAGGAGGAGGGAGCGGAGGAGGAGGAAGAGGAGGCGGAGGAGGAGGAGGGGAGGAAGGGGAATGGGGAGGAGACGCCTGGGCGGGGATGATAGGCGAATGAGATGGATATTCGGGCTGTACTCGGTATAGTGCGCCCCTCGTTATCCACAGTGGTGAGCGGAAATTCTTGCTCTCCTTGCTTCTCTAAAGCGTCTCTGTTAGGGGAAGAGACACATGGCGAGTGAGGGGGGGGGGAAGGGGGGGGGAGGGGGGGGAGGAGGATACGACTTTTGAGACGTCCCAATACATGGAGAGTGAGGGGGAGGTGAGGAGGATACGGGGTGGAGACGAAGCGAAACACAAACCATAAAAAGACAAAGAATTGGTGAGACGATTTAAACGTGAATGAACACAACGTTACACCAACAAGAAATACAAGACCTTATAAAAACGTTAACATATCATGATGATGATTGAAAAACACTCAGAAACATTCAGCCATAGAAACATAAGACATAAAAGAAATTAATATATTCCTTCATGAACTACTATATACCTTAACGAAATGTACACAAACGCGAGCAGCTGGTCCTCCGTGGTGCCTCGGTGGTGGCTTGCGAACCAAACCTCGCATTTAACCTCGGTGGCACGCTCGGGGATCCCAACCTGCAGGCAGGGACAGGAAGGCAGGAGAAGGAACGATTGTTTTGGCGCCTTAAGGCCTAACCGGAAGGCAGGTTTAGAAAGGCAGAAGGAAGGAAGAAGGAGAAGGAACACTGTACAAGTGCACGAATAAATCATACAAGGGAGGGAGAGGGTGGGGGTTGGGGGAGATGGGAAGGGAGACAGGGTAGGGGGATTACTCCTTGTGGTGTTTCACAAGTTGTGAGCATGACTGAATGAACTATTAGTCTTTGTTCTATCTGAATGAAGTAGGGCTTATTCTATTAAAATCCTCTTTTGAACCTTTAGCCGTGGAATTTGAAATTTGGGTTTAACCGTAGCCGTCGTCGATAAAAAAAAGGGTTTACCTGCAGCCGTTGATCGAAGACTGGGTCCGTGCCTCCTCCTTTGATCGCCCGCGTGGTGAGTGCGACGCGGCCGAGCGGGTCGCGATCACCGCACAGCACCTTAGCGTACACATCTTGAGCCCCGAGCGTGGACCGATTCGGTAATCTCTCCGCTTGCAGGATATGGACATCGAGAATACCGACTAGGTTCCCGCCTTTTCTCGCCATGTCTATTTATTCAATGAAGATGATTATTTGGCTCGCGTTTATTCAGCCATGCTTTATTCGGTAGGACCACTATCGACACTGTCTTCCATGTAAGGCGTTACGGACACAAGTTTTGATATCTAAAACGGAAGCTTCGGAAAAAAACGGAAGCCGTCAAAACGCTTAATCGGTCTCAGGAGTCAGGTTTTTCTGCGATGATATTCCGAGACAGGGCATCATAAGAGAGGAGCTAAGCTTGTGAAGTGAATTGATTTAGGAGCACGAGGAGCAGAAGTCGTATACTTTCGGTGGTGTCGATTCAAGAAAGGAGACGACAAATTCTAAATACGCAGGTTGTCGAAAGACGTACTTTTCCGAGGACTAAATATACGGCAGTCAAAAAAAGTATCGTTCTCCCAAAAGTCGTCTAACAGGGAAAGCGGGAAAGCTTCGAATCCAAAGAGGCATGTCCATCTACGGATGCAGGCGTGAGACAAACGGACAAGCTCAGTCGAAAAACTCTGGACAAATGAATTCGACACGATTTTAGGTCTCGAGCACGTTTGACATCGAAGCTGGCGAAGCTGCGAGCAGCAGAAGAGACTAAATACACGTTTATCTGAAGCCATAGTGGTGTCGAGACGAGATTTCAGGAGGAAGGGTTGACGTCCGTGTGTGAGCAAGCAAGCGGGAAGAGTCGAATCGGAATAGTCGCGGCGGGTGATAGGGAAGGAGTACAGTACAAAAGGGAAAATGAGGGCTGCACTGCGCAGTAGGAGCAGAGCTAAGCAGACAGAAGGACGACCCAGAGATTGGGGGGTGTGCGGTTTGGAGCTGGACGAGCCTTGTGATTCTGGTTCGGTGGGGACAATCTCTGGGGGAGTCGGATGATTTGGTTCGGAAGTGGCTAGGGATAGGTTATGATACAGGTCCGAACAAGAGGGTGGAAGCTGGGAGATTGATGGGTTTGGTGTCATTGTCGTCTGGGGGAAGTCCACCAGACCAGACTCCGGGCGAGCAAGTCCCGAACCCCGAAGCCCCAACCTCGAATGTAGGTTGGTGAACTGGCCAGGCACCATGACGAGCATCGAGCCGCTGGGCAGGGGCGGCTTCGTGTGCATTGCTGGCGACGGCGGAAGTTCACTCGGCGCTGAGCGATTTTCTCTGGGCGAAATCGTGGGTTATTTTTCGCCATACGCCAAACCAACGCACACTTACCGAACCAAGAACAACACCCAGGTCGTGTGGTTCGTGCTCGCCACGGCCCAACAGTCACGGGCAGCGTCCGAACTGCCCAAACTTTCTTGAGCTAATAGGAACAGACTCAGGAGTCCATCCCGTTACGGAGTTTACTACCTTCCTCGTACCCGCCTTCCTCACATCAGACCCCCATTCCCTAGGAACTTGGGCTAGGAGGACCAAAGTTCGGTTGCGGGGAGGAAGCTGAGGCCGCTCATCAAAAGTTTTGGCCGTCACCTTGAGGACCGATTTGCTCGTCTCTGCGCGTTCGGCAACCTGATGACTAGAAGCTGTCAGTCAGATGACTGCCACGTGACGCCGCCAGGCTTCAGTCAGCTGCGCCCGTTTGATGGTTTCTCCGAGCCTCGTGACTTGATGGCAGACTCAGGCTCGGTAATGGCCAAACGAGGCTCGGCTGCGCGACGCGAAGTTGTACTGGAATTGGTCAAAGAAGGCAACCTTTGTGGCAAAGCTCAGAATTGATGCGACGAAATCCGCTGGGGATGGGGTTTGTGTCGGTGGAATGCCTCATCCGATAAAAGGTGGCTTCGTTTGCACCACAAAAGCGGCACTAAAAAAACCCGAACAAAACTGCATTCCTCCTCATCATGCACACAACTTCATTCCTCCTCCACTATCCCCTACATCTTACACATCAAATCTGCATAATTTCTCATGCTGCGTTCCCACTACTCGCCGTTTGGAAGTTCATATGGACATCTCCCCGTCTCAACTCAACCTTCCCCTTGGTAACCAAGCCTCTGATCTGCAGCTGACAAGCTGAGCCTTTGAGGCAAAGAAAACAAAAAAAAGGTGCAGTACGTTGCTCTCCACCACAACATGGCATCCTCGACATGTTGTACATATGGATAAAATAAAACCGAGTGTTACAGCCAGGGAGAGAAGGACGTGGGCCTTAGGATCTGCTTACTAATGAGTCTAAGCTCTGATGATAGTAAGTTCTCAGTAGTACCAAGAGCAGAGTTACCAGCCTGCAATAGATGGTGCAACAGACAAACAAGGACCAAGTGGGGACAGGCGATCAGAAAACGAGGGCTAGGTAAGAAGGGAATGAGGGCGAAGGAAGGCGGACAGAGAGATGGGAGGGGGGAGGAGACGAGGGGAGAAGGGTGAGGGGAGCGAGGGCAAACGAAGGCCAGGCAGGGAGATGGGAGCCGAGAGGAGGCGAGAGGAGACGAGAGGATAAGAGAAGGGTGAGCCAACCTTATCGGCCAAGTGACAGTCGGTGGTGCTGCTGTGCCTCCATATCTCGAGAGCTCTGTGTGGACTGCGAGCAAGGGTGGGGAGAGTGGGGGCGCCACTGAAAGACTGTGTTAGCAGGTGTGCCAGGTTACCGGCCAAGTGACAGTCGGTGGTGCTGCAGTGCCTCCATATCTCGAGAGCTCTGTGTGGACTGCGAGCAAGGGTGGGGAGAGTGGGGGCGCCACTGAAAGACTGTTAGCAGGTGTGCCAGGTTACCGGCCAAGTGACAGTCGGTGGTGCTGCAGTGCCTCCATATCTCGAGAGCTCTGTGTGGACTGCGAGCAAGGGTGGGGAGAGTGGGGGCGCCACTGAAAGACTGTTAGCAGGTGTGCCAGGTTACCGGCCAAGTGACAGTCGGTGGTGCTGCTGTGCCTCCACAATCTTTCGGGCGCCACTGAAAGATTGTGTTGGCAGGTGTGCCAAAGCCATAGGGCACTGATTGGGGTTATTGGCAAGATGACACTTGGTGGTGTCGCAGTGCCGCCCCGCCACAGCTATAGGGCACTGCATGGACTGTAAGTAACAGTGAAGTCATGGGTACAGTACAGTGAAAGAGTGTTACCCGGCGTCAGAGTAGCCGAAAAAGAGGCAGCGAGAGGAGGGAGCAGCCTCCATGCGAGCAGAGTGCCTGTGAGACAGAGAGGGTAGAAAGGCAGGGCGAAGGGGTCAGACAGTAGAGGCAGGGTAAGGAAGGGCAGAATGGTAGAGACACATAGGAATGGTGCGAGAGGAGAGAGAAAGGCAGGGCAAGGAAGGGCAGAATGGTAGAGACACATAGGAATGGTGCGAGAGGAGAGAGAAAGGCAGGGCAAGGAAGGGCAGAATGGTAGAGACACATAGGAATGGTGCGAGAGGAGAGAGAAAGGCAGGGCAAGGAAGGGCAGAATGGTAGAGACACATAGGAATGGTGCGAGAGGAGAGAGAAAGGCAGGGCAAGGAAGGGCAGAATGGTAGAGACACATAGGAATGGTGCGAGAGGAGAGAGAAAGGCAGGGCAAGGAAGGGCAGAATGGTAGAGACACATAGGAATGGTGCGAGAGGAGAGAGAAAGGCAGGGCAAGGAAGGGCAGGGGTGAGTGGGCAGGAGAGAGAGGGAGTGGCAGACAGAGGTTCAACGATAAATGGGGAAAGACGCACCCCTTTACTTGTAAAATAGCAGCTCATACACCCCGGCCCGGGTGATGATCAGAATGGAAACGGAAGTTTTGAGACGTCTAAAAATACACCCGCGGGTGATGATGAAGATGGGAACGGAAGTCATGGTGATGGCATGAAGAACGGAGGTGGTGATGGTGGTGATGGTGGTGATGGTGGTGATGGTGGTGATGGTGGTGATGGTGGTGATGGTGGTGATGGTGGTGATGGTGGTGATGGTGGTGATGGTGGTGATGGTGGTGATGGTGGTGATGGTGGTGATGGTGGTGATGGTGGTGATGGTGGTGATGGTGGTGATGGTGGTGATGGTGGTGATGGTGGTGATGGTGGTGATGGTGGTGATGGTGGTGATGGTGGTGATGGTGGTGATGGTGGTGATGGTGGTGATGGTGGTGATGGTGGTATTATTTGAAATCAATTACCATATAGAAAACAAATCTTGAAATTTGTAACTAGCTGTGGGGCTCCAGGGCTCGCCTCGTGCCTCGTAGCAGCGCAGCTCATTCACCCCGGGGGATGGTGGTGGTGGTGGTGATGATGATGCAGATGGTGTTGATGCTGCTACTGATGTTACTTGCCTTATAGAGAATGCCTCCTGAACACCGTGACGAGAGGTGGGGCTCCAGGGCTCGCCTCGTCCCTCGTAGCAGCGCAGCTCATACACCCCGGGGGTAGGTGGTGGTGGTGGTGGTTGGCGGGGTGCTGGTGGTTGGAGGGGTGCTGGTGTTGATGCTGATGATGGTGAGGAGGAGGAAAGGGGTGAAGCACTTGCAGCCTCTGCCACAGCAGCCATGCAGTCCGAATCTTCCAGGAAAATGTTCGACTCCTGCAGCCCAGAAAACACCCAAAAGAGGATCAAACGGGGGAAAGAAGAAGGAAAGACGAGGGGAGAAGGAAAGACGAGGGGAGAAGGAAAGACGAGGGGAGAAGGAAAGACGAGGGGAGAAGGAAAGACGAGGGGAGAAGGAAAGACGAGGGGAGAAGGAAAGACGAGGGGAGAAGGAAAGACGAGGGGAGAAGGAAAGACGAGGGGAGAAGGCGGAGAAGAAAGGAAGACAGAGGGACAGTTCAGCACGGCACCTCTTCAATTGACTGAGTACCCATCGCAGTGCACCAGTACACTGAGTCGACTCTACTGCCCCCTTTTGAGGCGCCTGTGACTGGAACGCCGGTTTCACCAGAGGGAGGTACTCCTGAGTCCACTCCCTTCCCTCTGTAAGCCCTCTGGCTTACATGGGTCCCTGCTACCCGCCTACTATTGACTTGACTCCAGAACCCATGTGAGCCAAGCAACGAATCACTCAACTGTCCCATCATTAGAGCGACTTGACCCAACTGCCCTCTCACCTGTGACTGGAACGCTGGCTTCACCAAAGGGAGGTACTCCTGAGTCCAGTCCCTGCTGCCCGCCATGCGTGCTCTCACTGCATCCCTCTCCCCCCACCCACCTGCGTGTGTGGGGTGGGGCGGGTGGGGGTGGAGTGGAGAATGGTGGGGACGAGGAGCAGGGTTGTGTGCGAGTGTGATGCGCCTAGAGTTACTCCTGCAGGAGTGGAGAATGGTGGGGAACAGAGGAACAAGGTTGTTTGTGAGTTTGATACTTCCCCCACGCACCTGTGTGTGTGTGTCAGTGTGAGTGTGAGCGTGTGTGTGTGTGTGTCAGTGTGAGTGTGTGTGCGTGTGTGTGTGCGTGTGTGTGTGTGTGTGTGCGTGTGGGGCGGAAGGGTGGAGGGGTGAGGAGCAGGAACAGGGATAGTAAGCAGCAATGAAGTGGTTACCAGAACAGCAGTACAGGTGGTTACAAGAGCAACAGGAAGTGGTTACCAGAGCAACACAGCGAGTGGTTACCAGAGTAACAACGGAATTAATTACTTGAGTAGCAACTGGATGTGGTTACCAGGGTAACAGCAGAAAGCGGTTACCAAGGTAACAGTAAGGGTGGTTACCAGGGTAACAGTAGAAATGATGCACCTCGTTCAGCACTCCCCCAGTCTCCACAGTCCAAAACCTGATGTGAGGGGAGAGGTGGGGGGGGGTGGGGGAGGAGGGGAGAGGTGGGGAGAGGTGGGGCAAGGTGGGGAAAGGTGGGGCAAGGTGGGGCAAGGTGGGGGGAGGGGGAAGGTCCCGCGCAAATTCCCCCCCCCCACGACTGACTCCCCCATCACTGCCAGTCGTGGGGGAACCACTCCTCCAGTCCCCCTGCCAACCCCCCGCCTTATCTGCCACCAACCCCCCCCTCCCCCCCTTCTCCCCGCCGCAATCACTCCCCCATCCCCCCTGCCTACCCCCACTATGCCGCCTAATCCCACCTCCCCGCTGCGAATAACTCCCGCCTATCCGCCCCATTCCCCCCCCCCCCCCCCCCCCCCCCCCCCCGCCTACCCGCGCCATCCTAGTCCCAGCTACCCCAAACCATCCACACCCCGCATCACTCCCCCCCTGCCGCCTACCCCCCCATCTGCCGCCTACCCTCCCCCATCTGCGCCGCGAATCACTTCAACATCCTCCTCCCCCCCCCCCTCCCCCGCCTCCTTTCCCCCCGAATCACTCTCCCCCATTCCCCCCTGCCGCCTACCCGCGCCATCCCAGGCTCAGCTCTTTCCGCGCGCCGAGAATCACTTTCCCATCCCTCCCTTCTCCCCCCCTTCTCCCCCCCTCCTTCCCGTTTACTCCCCCATTCCCCCCTCTCCCCCCCTCCTTCCCGTTTACTCCCCCATTCCCCCCCGCCTACCCGCGCCATCCGGGGCTCAGCTCTTTCCGCAGCGCAGCGAATCGACGCGTCGCGTCCAAATAGGTCTTTAATTCGCCCGGGACTATCCGGTACGTGCGCAGCTCGAATATCGGCGGGGATTTCGGCTCGCCTGCTGACGTGGCAGCTGCTGATTGCGAAGATGACGGCAGCGGCGCTTTCGTGGCAGCTTCAGATTGGCTGGCGTATCTTCGCCGCGTCGCGAACGTCCTCCTCGCGCCGTGATTCGCGGAGGCGCCTAAGCCAGCGGGAAATACGGAAGAGTCGCCGTGGAAACAGCTGACGGAAGCATCGCCGTAACATGCGGCGGGAACCGCGGCGGAGGAAGCGACGGGCTGGGATGTGGAGCAACTAAGAACCATTCCGCCTAGGCTGGGTACGAATATGTCTTGTCGTGACGTGGCCACTATAAGATCCGCTTTTGATCCACAATGCCGCTCTGGCGACGAGCCGAGAGTCCCTGATTGACCTGATCGCGCGAGTACTGCGATCTCTCCCGCGTGTGCGATCTCTCCCGCGTGTGCGATTGAGCCCGCGTGTGCGATTGAGCCCGCGTGTGCGATTGAGCCCACTCCTTTCGCAGTTGACCTGTTACAGCAAATGCTTCTGAATTTAGTGCCACTAATTTTAGTACAACCGGCGTGATTGAGCGTTCTCGCCAGGGTCGCCGCGACCTGGAAAAGACTCTTGGCCATTTCAGACCGGGTCGCTCGCCCTCACCTCTTTCTTCTGAGGCGACTCCGAAGTTATGAGGCGTCTCGGAAAAAGGCCTCTTTCCTGGGATTTGCGGGGACGGAATAACGGACCCTCGGACGAAAGCCCGAGCAACGCGGATACTCCCGAGCTTGACTACTATTGCTGTCTCGAATCGCGAATTCGTGACTAGTTGACTAAAGCTGGTCTCTGTTTCTTGATAGGGCGTGCGGGGTGCCAAAAAGGTGAGAATTTCCTTCGCGGTTTCCATTGGCTGGTTAATAGAGAAGAGCGGTTGAGTGAGGTGCTGAGCTCTTATACGGCGAAGATGAGAAAGTGTAATACAGAGCGGAGTAGCTGATCTACCAAAAGAAGCCTTTAGCGAGGATAATCTTGCCATCTTTTGTGTAATTGTTAAGAGACTCAATATCGACAAAACAAATCAGACTAAAAAAAAACAAGCAATTAAACCAACAAAGAATTATACATTAACCAGCATTGCCTTCAAAACCTACTGAACCTTCTCAACAGCGTTACAATCAAGATCAGCTAGAAGATTGAACCAAAGCCCCTCTTCTAGCGCCGTATCAATGTTAAATAATGCCCCGTTGTCATCTTCAGTAACGTTGCTCCGCACAGGAGACGACTCGCTACCAGTATTATTCCCCACCTCCACTTCGCCGCCACCATTAATGCAGCCCCCAAAAATATCCTCCAGCATCTCATTTGCGGAGTCAAAAATGCCACCCTCATCAACTGGAAGACCAGGTCCTCTTGCAGCTTCAACTGAATCGCTCTGTAGCGGAAACAAAACGGCTGCTGATTCGTTAGCAGGAATGGTGGTGCAAGAAAGCCCAGCACGCTCAACTGAAGATCCCACTGCAGCACTGGAGAATTGCACCACGGGCGCAGCAGCCTCGGCTGGCAGTAACCCGGTAACCATTGTAACACCTGAACCCACGTGGTAACTGCTGCTGTCCAGGTGGTGGAGGTCTTGCTCAATGTGGTTACCAAGAATCTCAGCCGTAACATTTGGCAGAGCGTGACAGTCGTGAGAAACCTGAAAAGCGTGGCCTGATGCAAAGGGCACAGATGAAGGCTGAAAGCAGGTGCGTGATGTCAGGTTTGTTGGTCTCTTAGAAATGTCGAAAGCGTGACTTGCTGCGAAGGCCAGAGAAGCGTTTTGACAAGAGGCGGGCTGCGGCAAGACTGGTTCATGGGAGTTCCCGAAACTAGGCTCCCTTGTTAAGCGGATGGGTGCCATAAGCAGTGGTTGAGAACAGGTGGGTGGAGGCAGGTTAATGTGCTGAGCCGCTGCTGCAAGTAAGCCGTCTGCTGGTGCCGGTGCTGCCGCCGCCACCACCGCTGCTGGTGCCGCCGCCACCACTGCTGCTGGTGCCGCCGCCACTGCTGCTGCAGCTGGAGTTCTCTCAAAACGTTCCACCAGCGACGTTTCCGGCGTTGCATCGGTGGGCATGGAAAGAAGAGGGGGCCCTCCGGGGTTGGCTTCACCGCAGCGGCAGCTGCAGCGGCAGTGGGCAGGTTTTGTTGCAGGCACAGAGAAGGGCTGGCTGGGTGCAGGTGCGAACGGGGAAGGTACATATGGAGCAGGTGGATGTGAGGTAGACACATACGGGGGGGATGGGTGTTGTATCTTTGCAGCATCGCACGCAAGAGGGGGTGATGGCTGAAGTGGTGTTTGCATGAAGGGCTGAGAGGGAGGTGGTACTGGGAGAGGTAGGTGCTGCTGATACTGATGTAGGTGTTGGTGTTGGTGTTGGTGCTGATGCTGCAGAGACGGTTGATATGCCTGGTAAGCTTGTTGATGCCGCTGTTTCTTCTGTTGCTGCTGCCGCTGCTGCTGCTGCTTCTGCTGCTGCTGCAGGGTCTGGTATTGAGCATGGTAAGGCGGTTTGAGCTGATGCAACCTTGCTTCCAAATGTTCGGTGGTGCTGGAGAGAACAGTGGCG